AGGTCTACATACCATTATACTGCTTCCTATTGACGCTTCTGATCTTCGACGACCATTATCGAAGAAAAGATCGTTGTATTCGATTTTCCACAATCGACTGTGAAGTTCTCTTTCAACTTTGTAATGTCTACAACACAAATAAAAAATAAATCGTAAGAAGTTTATAGAATAAAACCATCAAAGTGTTACACCACGGCGCTTTCAATGAGATTTCTGTGTGTTATAATATTACAACCCACAATTAATAATAATAATAATAATAATAAATAGTATTTATATAGCGCAAAATATCAATGAAGTTCTGATGCGCTTTACAAAATTTATAAAAATAGTTATAAAAATTTATGAAAAAAGATATAAATGTTTATTTGTAAAATAAAATTTCAAAATCACATACTTTTTTATATTTTGCATAAAACACTAATACAATAATAATTATTTAACATTAAAAATACAGAACTATTTAAGTGAAAAGGCTTTCTTAAAAAGCCAAGTTTTAATTTCCTTTTTAAAAATACAAATTGATTTGGCTCCACGGACGTTCTCGGGGATAGAGTTCCATAGCTCAGGAGCTGCAAAAGAAAAAGATCTTCTGCCATAAAATTTAAGGTTAAAAGATGGTTTAAACAGCAAGTTGGCCGATGAGGATCTTAAAAAACGTGAGGGTTTATAAGGCTCGATAAGATTAGAAAGATAAGAAGGAGAAGTTCCATTAAGAATCTTAAAGGTAATTAAAAGAATTTTATAATCAATGCGTTGCTCTACAGGCAACCAATGTAAGTTGTAAAGAATAGGCGAGATGTGGTCGCATTTGCGGGTAAAAGAAATTAATCTTGATGCCGCATTCTGCACGCGTTGTAGCTTGCTTATAGAGGACTTTGGAAGACCATAGAGCAAAGAATTACAGAAATCTAATTTAGAGGAGATAAAAGCATGCACAAGTGTTTCACACGCACTGACGCTGAGCCATTTGCGTACTTCCAAATATTGTGAATGTGGAAAAAGCATGATTTACATACTGCTGTTATATGGCATTCTAAMRAAWGTTTTTTGTCAAAAATTACCCCAATATTTCGTGCAGAAGAAGATGATAAAATGTCAAAGCCAAGAATATTAARTGACACTTCTGATGAGAAAGGGCGATGTGCAGCTGAAAGTACCACTAGTTCAGTTTTATCACCGTTAAGTTTAAGCTTGTTTTTAATCATCCATAAATCAATATCTTTGACACAGGCCTCAACCTTGGATTTTGCTGCTGTCATTTCATATAAAGATGTTGTAGAGAAAGAAATATATAATTGTGTATCATCTGCATACAGATGATAGCCCAGCTCATGCTGATGAATTATATCTGCTATGGGTGAAACATATAATGAAAATAAGATTGGTCCTAGAATTGATCCCTGAGGAACACCACAATCAAAAGGCCGAGAAGAAGATTTGCCTTCCGGGACACTGACATAAAATTGCCTATTACTAAGATAGGATTTGAACCACTCAAGAGCTAAGTCTCGAACTCCAAAAGATGTATATAGCCGATTTAAAAGAATATCATGGTCAACAGTGTCAAAAGCAGCAGAGAGGTCAAGAAGGACAAGAAAAACTGATTTGTTCTTATCAATTAAACGAGCACCCATGAACCTTTGCCATCGTTTGTCTTGTTTTACAAATAATCTCTTGTTAATGTTGCTTTCTGATTGGTTCAAACTCAAAGTTAGCGAATTTTCGTATGTGAGAAAACTAGAGCAGATTCATCTTTAAAGAGTACATCACATGTCATTTTCCAAGCCCACATCAATGGACCGCTATAAAAGGTACTCTATAGGACATAAAGCGTKAAAATATCGAATGTTGGCTGGCACCTTTCATGGCAACCGTTATTAGTCTACTAGTGACGGTCCCGGGAGGACGGAGGGTGGTGACTGCCATTTTTGACGAAAATGTTGACAATATTTAGAAATGTTACTGCTTATGCGATAAAATAGTTAATTTTGAACTCTTCTGACCCAAGATTGTGGAACCCACAGAAATCACAGTTACGAATGAGACTTATGTTCTAACATTGCTGCAGGCATGCCATCGTAGAGGAGACTGCTGTTTCACACGACCATCGCAGGCGCAAGAAAATCACAACAGTTTCATTTCTTGTGTTTGTAAAGCAGGCTTTACGTAGGCAATCATATTTACCTATATAGAATAGCAATCAAGAGAACCGCCAGTACGCCCAACACCACAGAGATTGCGGTGATTATGGTATTAGTGTTATCTGTCAAAACGATGATACAATCAATCAATCAGCTGATCAATTAATCAATCAGTCAATCATTCACTCAGTCAAACAATCAATAATCGATAAATCGTTCAATAAACCAATCGATCGATCAATCAATCGATCGATCAGCTGATCAGTCAATCACTCAGTCACTCAGTCAAACAATCAATAATCGATCAATCGTTCATTCAATCAATCGACCAATCAATAATTCAATCAATTAATCAAATGATAAATGAGATAAATGAAAATAAAATGAAAATTATGAAAATAATCACTGTCGATGATAACAATATATAACATTCATGACTATACCTTTAATGGTTTTGTTAATTACACAAAGTTTGCCGTCAAATCCACACCGGGGTTGGTCAGGAGGCGGCCATTTYCGCCCATTAAACCACTCAACACCTCTATCAGGTAAAAACTTGACTTCTAGAGCAGACGAATTACTTGAAGTAACAAACGATGCTATTTCGTCCATGCTGCTTGTCATTGCTACAATAAAAGAATGAACATTAACCACGTGAATATGCAATAGACTTTTCGCGGTTTAAACCAAGTAGGGCAATACAGTCCTCAAATTAACAAGAGTGCCAAGTCATATCAAAACCCCGGATCAAAACTATGACTTTTTTCACCAACAAAAAATACTTTCTTGACATACTAAGGAATAAACAAGCTCAAAAATAACAACTTTTGGGAAAATTCCCAGGTAACTATTATGATCAACGACGACATTTGTGTGGGCATGAGTAAATATTTCCAAAATATTCGAGATAGGCTTGAGTGTGAGGCTGTTGTACGCCTAACCGCGCTGATWCTTTTCAGAGTTTTCAAGAATCATTTGAAGATTGTTGCGATTTTTGYTTGTACCTGGGGCTTCATTTTACCTTTTTTGGCTTTTTGGATGTGAATCAGCGTCAGATTGAACTCAGCATCTCCATTGTGATCCATACGAACCTGATATCCACGAATACCTGGAATATTAATAGCATGAGAATTACAATACCAGCTAAATAAACCAACAAAAAATCACTTACTTTCAAAGGAATGATTGGTTAAATGACTAAGGATCACAGACCCTTTCACAGGTTGACCGTACATCAAGGTTTTATTCAGAGCAACAGCAAATTGATAAACAGCATCGTAGAGAGTTGCAGCAAACACTGGAGGCTGATACACAAAACAACATTACATTAATTCATCGCTCCTAACTATGAAGTAAAAATGATTTAAAATAATTATTTGCTTCTCCGGCATTGTGATGACATCATATTGATGTGTGATAATGACGTCATATTATGATGAGTGTCATTTGATAAAGATTTGATGCTTTGACGCMATGGTTTCTTACAGGACGGCGTGCGTGATTCCATCATGATGACGTATCACTGATGTCACGTATCAATTATCATACCTCGGGCTGATGTTTCTGGGTAATGTTGTAGACTTTGTAAAATGGATCCTTGAATTGCCATACTCTAAGGCTTTTGAGGAACTCGTTGTATCGACCACCTTTACTGCTCTTCACCGTCACTATCAAAGCTGCTTGAAGCTCGTCGATCACGAATTTCATCCTAGAAAATAATACCAGATATCAAAAACAAGTGTTAAAAGAAAGAAATGGACAAGATACAGACATTGTTGTGAATAATGCACACTAAAGATTACCCAACACTGTGTTACTGGGCGGACATCCTTGAATCACCAAATCAATGCTTGGTTGGCCAAACGATATCAAAACATCCAACACCGTCAAACAAGACGACTAAATTACAAAATCAGCTGAATCGTCTAGTTTGATAGTGATGAATGTAGGGCCATGCGCAGGGGTTTTCCAGGTATTGGTTTGGCAATTAAAGTCTTCAAAGACTTTGTCTGACAAGCATCCCTACCCCTCCCTCCCCAGCGCACGCCCCTGGTATGATTTCTCCCCTAATAATCACCTCTTTCCAAGAAAGAAGAACTTGAGTTTATGATTAGCCTGGTAACCTGCCAGTACTGGATCAAGCTCAAAAACAATAAACACATAGTCGCCATTGATGAGTCCTGCTTGGTTGGCCAAGTAAAGTCCTTCTAGTGCCATAGGGTAGCTTGTCATTAAAATCACAACTACAATAAACAATTCGACGTTAGCAGATAGGATATGGGGGGGACCTATCCAAGATGTACTACATATACCAATGTGCAGAGTAAGAGGGCACATATATAAAATAAACAATTCGACGTTAGCAGATAGGATATGGGGGGGGGGACCTATCCAAGATGTACTACATAT